TCTCTCTCTGTTTCCATATGCTTCTCTCCTCTTTCTTTATGTTTTTCTTATTCTTTTCCTCTGCTAGTTTTCTTCTTCTTTCTTTATTTCTTATTCTTTTCCTCTGCTAGAAATAATTTTTCCAAATCCTTGATCTTGAAACCGATTCACCTCCACCTTTAACTAATTTGCTTATCAGTTAAGAACCTTCATACCAGAATATGTTTTGGTTACCATATCAATTCAATAAATTTTAAAAAACAAACACATGGAAAATTGAGATCAGATATGACATGGTTTGGGATAGAGATGGTGAAAAAAAAGGGTTGGGGTTGTTCGTTGGAGATGATTGAGTTCCATTCTCACTTGTTTTGATCCATCTTTTAATTTTGCATTTTCTGCAATATTTCTCTTGGTTCCTATGCAACTGTTCACATCATCTTTCGAGCAGTCCATCTCGTTTTGTACTGATCCATGTTTGTTGGTATCAATCCATATCTTCGTCTGACATTTCTCCAAAGTTGTCATCTTATAGATCTTGACTTTTAAGTTTCTGTGTGGCTGTTAATCCCAACGACTTTTCTACTTTATCTCCCAACCTTCTTGTTCAGATCTTCTTGGTATTATTTCAAACTCTTCTTGGTATCCATTCTCTCTCTCCTTTTTTATTTTTTTACTTTTTTTTCTCCGGTGATTTTCTTCTTCCTCTTTATTTATTTATTCTGGATTATACCTTCTCTCTCTCCTTTTTCTTTCTTTTCCTTCTCTCTCTCTTTCCTTTTTTTCGCACTTATCCCTTCAGCGTCTCTCCTCTGTCTTTATGTTTTTCTTATTCTTTTCCTCCTTCGATTTACTTTTGCTTTCTTTATTTTCTTATTTCCTTTGTGTTTACCCGTAGCTATAATTTTTCCAGATCCTTGTATCTTGAAACCAATTCACCCACCTTTAACTAATTTTCTTATCAGTTAAGAATCCCTTCATACCAGAATATGTTTTGGTTATCATATCAATTCAATAAATTTAAAAAAAAAACACATGGAAAATTGTAATCAGACATAAATATGTAATAAAGTTATGCGAAGCTTGGGTTGTTTTTCTCTGTTGTCTTGGCGGTATCATTGAGTGTGAGCAAGTTCCTTGGTGATCCATTTTGAATAATTAACACGATTGTCATCATTTAACAATAATTATAACCCTTAAAAAAAATAATTATAACGAAAGAAGCTTGAAGTCTTGGTCGTAATAGAAAGCAAAAAACGTGAGGATGAAGGGGGTTACCATAAGCAAAAGTCACTCCCGATATTTTAAAAAAAAAATGAGAGCAAAAGTTACAGTGACTACTACAAATAAATGGAACATCAAATGTTCCAAAAAATCCTTCATGTAAGACAAATTGTTAAAATAGTCCGGCCGCTCTAAAATTGGACAAACCGGTCTATTCACTGTTCGACAGTGACATGAAGTTTACTTTTATGTCACTATTGAATAGTAATTTCAATGTTACTGTCGGACAGTGACATAAGAGTAATTTCATGTCATTGTCGGGTAATGACTGAATCAGACTATCCAATTTTAGAGTGGCTGAAATATTTTAACATTTTGCCTTCCTGTTTGTCTATTTTTATTAAAACCCCTAAATGACATATATATATAGCCACACTTTTTCGCACACCATTAAATCATCAGATTAAGTAAGGTTTTTTTTGGTAAACAAAAGTTTAGGAGAGGGGGAGAGGCCAGGGCAAACCTATGACCTAGAGTCGGTTGGACTGACGCAAGGGGCCAGTATCCCCTGCCCCCGGTTTGGAATTACGCAGGACATTTTCTAGATTATCCACCAACATGGGAACTCGGTTGGGGCTCAACGCCGGATTAATAAGTTTCAAAGACTACTATTATTGACTTTTTTTGTGCTTTAATTATAGTTCACTCTTCTCTCTTTCTCCTCTTTTTTTTATTCTTCTTTTTTCTTTATGTTCCTTCTCTCTTATCTCTCCATTTCCTTTTTTTCATGCGTTTATCCCTTCTCTCTCTCAATTTCCTTTTTTTTTCTTCTTCCTCTTTCTTTCCTTATTTCCTCTCTATTTATTTTTTCTACATTTATCCCTTCTCTCTCTCCTCTTTTTATGCTTCCTTTCTTATTCTTTACCTTCTCTCCCCTCATAGTCACTAGACTATTTTAACATTTTGCCTTCCTATTTGCCATTGTTTTGGTAAAGCCCCTTATTTTTTTATGCCTTTATCCCTTATCTCTCTATCTCTCTATCTCTCTATCTCTCTATCTCTCTCTCTCTGTGTGAAGATATGATCATGAATGAATATGTATATGATTAGTTTAACTGTAAATGCTGATGAAAAGATGAAGTTTTGAACTTGAGGTGGTTGATTAAAAATCAAGAGTCTGTTGCACATGGATCACCCCTTTTCGGCTTCTTTTTTTCTCCCTATCGGATCTTTGATCAGGTAAACGATCCACACCTTCACTTTCAGTTCTATTAGTCTTGCCTATTTGAACAATCTTGATAGATATTCATTGATCAAAGCTATTAAATTTGTGTTGTAATTTGTAAATCAAAGAACTCAGCTGCCTAGTTACAAGTCACTGGTATCTCTCATCTGGATCATGCTTGTTTCTGGGTTCTTCTAAAGGTTTTTGATCCAACTTGTCATCAGCCTACACCACAACAGCAAGCGAGCTAGGTACTCTTTTCCTCTAGGGCTTCTTGGTTATTAATCTTTTATTCAACTAAACAAGTTTAGGGATGGCTGTGATGAAATATTAGGGCTGTTTATTTTGGGTATTTAGGGCTGTTTATTTTGGGGATTCGTTGACATTGGGTATGTGTTGTGGTTGTTGTGATTAAGTATATGCTAATGTCTTTACATTAGTCCTTTTTATTTGAGGGGCTGCTGTAAATTTTCAATCTTCATCTTCATTTGGTGCCCAATGGACATGTGAGCTATGAACATGATGATCTGCTTTTCTTTTTTATTTCTTATAATTGATTCATAAAGATTATTATGTGTGAAGCTTTGTTTTCCTGATAAATTAAATTTTTTATGGAGGTAATAAACTTCAAATTTGACTGTGAATCTATGAATATAATTTTATAAATTATAAAACATTGTTGGAAGTTCATTGTTTTCATTTCTTTAGGATTTATAATTTGTGGGCGTGGATTTCTGTTAATGATATTTGTGTATATGACTCTGTACAGTTTTAAAGGGCCAGCCAGTTGAGCTGCTGCACGAAAGGAAAGGAAAAGAGAAAGAAATGCCTCTGTATGATTGTATGCTGCTGATGAAACCCCATGTAAGGAAGGAGGCTCTGATGGACTTGATTGCTAGAGTAAGCAAACATGTTTACAGAAGAAATGGAGTTCTTACTGACATGAAGTCATTTGGCACAGTTCAGTTGGGCTATGGTATTAAGAAGCTTGATGGCAGATATTATCAGGTTGGCTTTTGGTTTTTTCTGCAACCTTGTAGTAAATTTGAATTGTTTGATTGATGTCGTTGTTAGTGTAACTTAGATTTCAGGCCTCTTTTCGTTGTTTGAATTGTGCTTACTAGTTTATCTACGAAATTTGTGCTTACTACTTGTTTTTTAACTTAAAAAAATTCTCATGTTTCTATGGGACTGGTGGGTTGTTTGGTTTTTAAAAGATCTGGTATTTGGCTTTAGCTTGTTCTGATGGTGGATGGTGTTTTATGCAGATCTTTGAGGAGAAGAAGCAGTAGCAGTTCACCTCCTCATAAGCCATAGGTAAGCAGTTTAATAGTAGTTTTGATAAATAATTAATTGCATTAATTGGATGGGTTTATCAGTTTATTAATGCTGCTATGTTGAATTCATTGAGTTAGGTATTTGTTTTTAGTTTGATGTGATTTAATGATGTATACTATTAATATATATATATATATAGTTGCATTTTTGCCTAATGTTTTGATGTGTGTTTTTATTTGTAGATCGTACAATTTTACCGACACCAACCAACTCAAGTCCTTCGTTCCAGTGATAATTTAATATGTGAACGAAGCCTTCGTTGGTGTTATATGTTAATTTTTGGCTTATGTTTCAAATTTCAAATTTGGTTTGTAATTTAATTATTAATTTTTACATTGAGATATAATTCTTAAGATTGTATGTTTGGTTTGGATGACCATGTTTTGTATTTGGAAGTTAAGATGGCATGTAGAAATTATTTTAGGCCAAATTTTTATAGGAATGTGAATAGGGTCTTATATGCTACTTAAGCCCACAAAGAAACAAATTTTTTTATTTTAAAAAAAAAAATACCGGTTCCAATTTCGGGTTAAGCTCAGAACCGGGCCGAACCGGATCGCGCCCAGCCCTACTTAGGACTCACAAGTCTCGAATCATAAATGAAAAATAAGTTTAATGAAAATGAAATACACCTCAGCCGACGACCAATTTGTCTCATCACCATCTCCGGCTCCGGTGACTCCTCCTCCACGACGGAGCTAGCTTACTTCATGGTTGAATTTTATTTATTATATATATATATATATATATTGTTTTATGATATTAATTTATCTTTGTCCAAGGTGGACTTTGGGCTCTGGGATTTGGGATGCAAACTGTGGGCGATCCCAACAAGAATGAAGAGCTACCCATGACATGACATGTAGTATGTACGTGTGACTCTTTCCGTACGCAGAAATTAAAAGGGAAATCCAATTCAAATCGTATGTCTTCAAGCTTAAGGAGTTGGCAAAACAATTAGAATTAGGCATTAGACGAGACGACAGGTGTCCTTTGACCGTTTGACATGTGTTCATTGAGTGTCGTGTGCAACAGCAACAGCCACGATATTGTTTTACACATGTCAACAGCCCACTTCTCCTCCTAACTAAGTAGGATGTGCATCTCATGTGCCTCTCAATTTCCCATCAAACAGATGCCACAACACAACGCTACACTGGGCAGCAGCCACCTGCGGCTCAAAAAATTTATTATAGGTCACTGTGCCAGCCATATCTTCTTCTTCCTCACTTCACCAAACCAAGGCCTTCTTATTGCCTTAACATGGAAAAGGTAGGGAAGAAAGCTACAGCACGCATGGGGCGCTCAAGAAAAGGGTGCATGAAAGGGAAAGGAGGGCCAGAGAACGCACTGTGCAGCTTCAGGGGAGTGAGGCAGAGGACTTGGGGGAAATGGGTGGCTGAGATTCGAGAGCCCAATCGTGGGGCTCGGCTTTGGCTGGGCACTTTCAACACCTCAACAGAGGCAGCTCTTGCTTATGATGAAGCAGCCTGCCAAGCTCAACTTGCCAGATCACAAACCATCATCATCATCATCATCTGCAAATTCAAGTTGTTCAAGCACTAAGTCCACCTCTGATCAGTATAATATGAAGGGTGGATTAAGTGGAGATGGTTGTGGTAAGTTAGGTGGTGAAGCTTGTTCAGATTCATTAATATTTGGAGGTTGGAGTATTGGAGATGATTTGTGGGAGAGTACTACTACTACTGGTGGTGCTAGTACTGGGACTAATAGTCCTGTATTGAGCAGTTGGGCTGGAGTTTGTGGTGAAAAGGATTTCCTAGAGATGAATGACATAGGAGCTGATGTTATGAAGGGGGGAGGAGATGAATTCATAAATTGGGATGCTTTGGGACCTCCATCATCATGGACCTAATAGTATTGCTGCTAATAACTTGTACATAGCCTTAGACCCATGTAGGAATAGGAAGCCTTTTTATTTTTTATTTTTTTTTGGTTGGGCTCTGTTTCCATCTCTGTTATCTTTCATGTTAGTGGATCAAAAAATAATGTCTGTCTCTATTTCTTTTCTTCTATTTTTTATTGCCTACTTGAGGCCCATAGTGTGTGAGCTTTGTATGTAACAGGGGCCTGAAAGTTATATATAATTTGTGCCCCAAAAAGGATGAGGAAAGCCTTCATGCGCACTCAAAAGCAAACCAAAAGCCCCAACATTTTAATCACTTTTATTTTTTATTTTCTGTTTGTTGATTGAAGTGCAGCAGGCAGGCACATAGAATTATAAAAAGATTCAACTCTCAGATTTCAGAACAGAATTTGGTAGTCTTTTCCATCATTCATGTCACAATCGTTTTCCCTTGTCGTTGTCGTTGTGTTATTAGTGTTAAAACAACAATCATTTGCGCATCCATACCATGCTTTTCCTCTGATGATCAAAACCTGAAGACAGACACAACTTTCACATTCAGAGAAAGAGTTGTGAGCTGACTGAGTACCAGTGAAAACTGTTAATAATATCTACCTGGCTTCCAAAAGTTAAGAAAAAAAATTAATAAAATATACTGCAGGTGGGGAACTAGAAAGTTATTATTTACAATCAAGGATATAAATTTTATACTCCTTTGTAAATTGTACTTGGTGGGAATTTAAGAGCCTGAAAAGATTGGTATGGTTATACCACTTTGGGAATTTGTGGGAAATGTCAGTTTCTTGGCCAGTTGGTTGTTTTTCTAATTAAGCCAAGCCACGTGAAGGGTTTTGTTGCAGAAGAAGCTGGGGTCATTGCAGCAGATAATAGTATCACATAGAAGCTTCCCAAACTCTTCAGGAATCTGTTATCATTTACTCGGCTAAGAAAATCGGTTGCAATCTTTGATTCACCAACTGTGACAAGATATTTATTTATTTTGCTGGCACATATAATCTCTAGCCTTTGATCTGCTGCTTCTTCCTCTTCATTAAGAAATAAGCAGCTTTTGTAGGAGCTGACAGATAAGTGCTTTGGCAATTGGCAGTTTAACTTGAAAAACAAAATGGGGATGCTGCGTTTAGTCCTGTTGTTATGTGAGAGACACTTGAGAGACAGACTGTATCAGATTGACGTTATTGCTAAGAGGAACATATAAACCCCCATTTATGCTCCATCATTATCAATCAATCACACACAGACTCAGTCCTTAATAATTAATCCTGTCAAATGCTGAAACAAATATTTCTTATCTCTCAAAAATCTTAATCAGATGGGATGGCTTGAACCCCAACCCCAAATCCCTTTCTTTTTAAAGGAGCTTTCATGTTGTTGGTCACATGAGAAGGATCTGGGGTTTAAAAAAGCTTATTGCTAATGAAGGGTTTTTTCTGTTAGTAAAAAAAGGCATAATATTTTGACATATAATTTTAATGCGCATTGAGGTAGCATATGAAATGCCTCTTGGAAGTAGTTAGATCACACCCCCACCTTATTTATTTTGGTCACATGGCTTATTAATCTGTTGCCTTTTGTCTGTCCCCCCCCCCTCTTACCAATATGGGGCATTTCCTCTGTAAGACAAGGCTAAACGTGCATCACACACTTGCCGTATATAGCTGGGATGGGAATTGAGAGGGCTGACTCATTATATCTGTTAAACTAATCATATTTCTGCACATGGCAAATTGCATGCAATCTATAAAACCTACCAACCAAGCATTGAAGCATTAGATAAACAAATAAGTTTAAAGAGTTTAAACTGTCTCCAAAGAGTTTAGGCATGCAATATATTCCATGATTTAGGGGAGCTCAAATGGTTATGATGACCTTCACCAGATGAGAGTTCAGCCTTCAAACCAAGAAAAGATAAAATGCAGAACAAGAAAGAGAGAGTAAATCATCTTAAATTGCTTGTGATGTAATACAATACAACAGCTCACAGAGATGACTGAAAGCTGAAAGAATTCTACAATTATTATATATGCTTCAAAATTTAATTTAATTTAATTTGACATGGATGTAACTGAAAAAAAATCTGTATCACCGTCACTCCGCCCGAAAAAAAAGCTGGTTTATTAAAGCTGTAAGAAGTAGGTGGAAACCTAGCAAGCAAGGATTGACTGCAAAGTTGAAAAGTCTAACCCAAAATTCAATTGTTCAATCTTTTTTTTAACTTTGTGTAACATTATGGTGTTGAAAAGTAAGTATTATATTTAACCAAATAATGCAGTACTTGCAATGCTGAAATTTGTCAGCTTTACCAAAATGAGGAACACAAGAATGAATGCAGTGCAAAGTAAGTTGGCAATGTATCACAACTAAAGGTCATAGTGGATATACAACTCACTACTGGCTAGTGGCTGCCCAAATAATTCCCCGTTTAATCTACTGGAACTACCAGAGCTACTAGCTTTTGTTAATGGTGGTCCTATACTTTAATCTGCTGGTGGTAGAGCACGCCATTAATATGGTGCCAAACATTGAAAGCAGGAGCAATATATAAAGCAAGCAAGCTCTTATTCACTTACCAGTGGAATAAAACTAGAGTACTTAGAGTGAGAACAACAGATAGAGCTAGCTGGTTGTGAGATTTCTTAAAGAGTTAGAGCCATTTCATCTCATCATGCATAGCATTTTTGCTTCTTGGGTAGTTATCCTAGGCCTGCTCGGTGCTTGTGCTAGCCGTCGAGCTGAGGCACGGGCATTCTTTGTTTTCGGAGATTCTCTGGTGGACAATGGCAACAATGACTACTTGGCCACCACTGCCCGGGCAGACTCTTACCCTTATGGCATAGATTATCCAACTCACAGACCCACCGGCCGTTTTTCTAATGGCCTTAACATACCAGACATTATCAGTAGGGCTCTTACTTTTTTGTTTTTTTTGTTTTTTTGGTAGTGATTATATACTGTAACATATTTGCAATATGTATTTTCAGGTGAGCAACTTGGCTCAGAACCCACATTGCCATACTTGAGCCCTCAACTCACTGGACAAAACCTACTTGTCGGTGCCAACTTTGCTTCTGCTGGGATTGGAATTCTCAATGACACTGGCATCCAGTTTGTAAGTCCTCTTTTTAACCCTCTTATAGCAATGTCCAATTAAAGTATACATTCGATTTAGGTTTAGTTTTTTCACATTACCATAAATAATGAAGAAGCAGAGTATCTAATTAGCAATGTCCAAAATTGGCAGCTCAATATAATCCGAATCTACAAGCAATTGGAATATTTCGAGCAATACCAGACAAGGGTGGCTGCCCTAGTTGGACCTGAACAAACTCAACGACTTGTTAACCAAGCACTTGTTCTTATTACCCTTGGTGGCAATGATTTTGTCAACAACTACTACTTGGTGCCCTTCTCTGCTAGATCTCGCCAATTCTCTCTGCCAGACTATGTTGTGTACATCATTTCCGAGTATCGCAAAGTTTTAGCGGTAACTACTGTGCTACTTCCTTTTTACATGTTGTGTACATTCTTGAGCTTGTCTTTAATACTTAACTAAATAATGTGACGAGATAGATAAATTCAAGAGAGAGTGTATACGACCGAAAATTCTCTCCATTTTTCCCATTTTCATTATTTCTGTTATTGATGCACTCACTATATACGCAAGGTGTTACAGTAACACCATCCATACGCACACATAGAGAATTGGTGTAGGATAGCCAAGGAGTAATGTTGATGTGACCCAAGGCAACCAGGGAGTTATTGGAAGATACGCTTGGTTGGTGAGACCAGCAAGCCTTGTGACATTTTCATTAATGCCTTTGCCCAAATGCACTTATGACCACTCTCTGCCTGCATTAAAGTTGTTTGGGAGACAAATTTATTAGCAGAGATTTTTCAACTTTGTTAAGACCTAACAATCTTTATCAATCAAGTTAAAACATTTCCTCATCTCATTTGTCGATCATTTGAAGTATGTTATGCATGTTGTAAAACTATTGATGAATTTCCGCACGTGATTAATTTGAAGCTCAATTAGAACGATGCATGCTTTAATGTAATGTAATGTTTTTGTTTTTGTTTTTTCACAATGCAGAGGCTATATGAATTAGGAGCTCGGAGGGTTTTGGTGACAGGAACAGGACCACTAGGGTGTGTTCCTGCGGAGTTGGCTCAGCACAGCAGAGCCGGTGAATGCTCGGTTGAGCTGCAGCGAGCTGCTTCTTTGTTCAACCCACAACTCGTCCAAATGATCAATGGGCTCAACAGCCAGCTTGGCTCAGATGTCTTTGTTGCTGCAAATGCATATGAAATGCACATGGATTTTATTTCTGACCCTCAAGCTTATGGTACGCCCAAATAATTTAGCTGGCAAACTTATAAGCACAAAGTGGGTTGGTTGGGCCAAGACAGTGCACGAGTTCAATATCCCTCTCTCCGTAGATTAGATATTAGAATAGTTTAGAATATAATTTCGGAAAAAAAAAACTAGGAAAATTAAAAGAAAATTACAAACATACCCTAAACTCGGAAAAAAAAAACTAGGAAAATTAAAAGAAAATTACAAACATACCCTAAACTAAACATGATCTGGTGTTACTTTTTGCAGGATTTGTGACTTCAAAGATAGCATGCTGTGGGCAAGGGCCCTACAATGGGATTGGGCTGTGCACAATTGCCTCCAACTTGTGCCCAAACAGAGATTTGTACGCGTTTTGGGATCCATTCCATCCTTCTGAGAGGGCCAACAGAATCATTGCGCAGCAAATCCTGACAGGGTCCAACAAGTATATGAACCCAATGAATCTGAGTACTATTTTGGCCTTGGACTCTAGGACCTAGACCTGCAACTTCAAGTCTAGAAAGTTACTAGAACAACTACAAGGGGTGCCTCTTCTTTTTATTATTAAACTCTTATCATCATTTCGTCAACCAATCTGCCTTCATAAGTGATGTGATTTATTATTATTATTATTATTGTTATTATTGTTTTGACTTGTGTCTTTAAAAATTCTAGTGTAATATTATTGTAAGTTGGTTTGCCTATTTAATTCCAAGCTTCAAGTTTAGCTTTGCCTATTGACAATCCTAATTGACCATTTAAGGCCCAAAACATAAGCTTCGTGTCAAGCATTTCAGGCCCAATAAAAATGTTTGTCTTGGGCTAGGCACAGCAAAAGGCCCGACCCGTTAAAGCTATGCATGAGAAAATTGGCCCAAGCTTTGGTGTGTGAAAGCTGTGGCAAATCTTCTGCTCAACACACTGAGCCCACTTGTTTAAAAAATAAAAATAAAAATAAAAACAAAAATGGCAAAGTACAAATTGTTTGTATTTGATACCTCTGGTCATCAAATGACAAACGTAGAACTAGAAATGCACACATTATTCCAGTCAAGTAATTGTATAGAAATTTACTATTGTTTTTAGTAATTATTTTTCCCATCACCACAATATGCAGGCAATAATAAATACGATGGGCCATAATTGTATTGCATAATTCAGAGTTGAGACAGCTGTGCAACTTGCTCTCTCAAATATAGAGTGAAATAAGCAAAAGAAAATTAAAGCAAAGCAAAGCTCAGGGAGGGAGGGACGACTTGACCAGATTCAGTCAGGTACGTATGAACACTGAAGAAGAAATAAATTGCTCTGGTCCAACAAGGGACAGATGTCAGTTTGATGTGAACTCATCTATCTCTTCAACGCCATTAACTTAGCCTCCAAATAGGATGCAGCATATGCTCCATTGTTCCTTTTCCAAACTAGCTACTCTTGGCATTTTACCTATAAAAAAAATAAACCTAATCGTAGCAAAGACGAAGAGAAGAAGAAGACAACAATATGATTCAAAAACATTGCTGCATTTGCAAATTAATGTGATCTGATTCCCTTGTTGTTAATGTTGGTCTTGGCACAATGGCATTTGAAGACAGGTAGTGCTAGGGTGCTGCTATAGGTGTAGGTATAGGTAGGTGGTGAATGGCATGAGTTTCACGAAAATGCTAGCTAGGGCATCTCTCACTCACTGGTGAGAAATTAAAGAGCCTCAAAAGTAGGTTTGAGAGAGAGAGAAAAAAAGAGATGAATAGTCATAAACTTGACAAGCCCTCGGGAAAGCTAAGGCCTTGTTAGTTAGTTGAACCGTTTCTTCAGCTAAAGTTAATTTGCGGTATGGTAGTTGGTATTATAATAAAGGCTGTCTTTTACTATTGTGTCTGTGTCTGTGTCTGTGTTTCATTTCATGTTACTCTCGAGTGCTCCAATAATGTTGAGGAGAAAGTCACATCTCAAGTCAATTACCTACGCTTTTGATTTGAATACTTTATTTTTTCATTCAGAATGATTAGCATTTAGCAGCAAGATGATTTAAAAGCTGTGATGTGAGAGTAGGTGGCTTGCAATTAAACCTCTACGAGCTTTATTGGCTTTGGCTGGATCATAATTGCGCATGTTTTTATGGCAATTAGTTTGTAAGGTGCGTCAAGAAATTAGGTCAATTTTTATGTTGAATTGGATCACATGCCTGCTGCTGCTGCTGGTAACTCTTTCTGAATCACATGCCTGCTTCATAAATAAATGGCTAACATCTTCAAGCTCATAAGTGATTAGCCACTGGAAGGGTGTTCACAATCAATCATTTACTGCGCCAAGTTTTGAACTGCGTCATTAATTTATGATGAAGTTGGTCAAAGGTTTAAGAAGGAATGTCATTCAAGAGCATGGAAATTTAGTCACAAACTACTACCTGCCCCATGTACTAGTCTGTAAAATTGGCTGTCATATGTTTAATTTGCAATTAGGTGGTGACTACTAGTGTTTCCAAATATCATCCAGGCTAATTTGAACTCATCCAGCACTGGATCTTTAGGCCAAGGTTGGAAAACTAATAACAACTGTAAAACTGGGTTCGACGTGACTTAAATTGCCACATAAAGTTTCAAATTTTGACTGTGGTTTTAGTAAATCTGCGCTGCATAAAACAGAGGTTGTATGGATCATACATCCAAGAGGGCTCCAGCCTGAACCAACTGACACCTATACTTGAATTTTGTTCACTTTTGAGTTCTGACATGGCAGTAAACTGGAAAGGCAAATTCGTGACCAAATTTACAAAAGCTTGGTTGAAAAACCATTTTCAATACATCACAAGAACACAAAGTAGATATTTCAAAGGCGCGCTTTGGTCATCAAATATCAAGCGTAGCCTGCCACAGCTACTTACGGCAATGCCATAATCGCAACTACCCAGACTGGGTTGCTTTTGTACAAAGTGGGCCCTGTTTTGCTTCAATTGACAAGCATCGCGACCTATATAACACCCCATGATCTATCAAACTTCCACATTACCAAGCTCATCAGCATCATTGTTCAATCATAGACAAGATATAGTCTTTTTGTTCTGTTTTGTTACTTTCAAAACCAACGACTCCTCCATGGCATCGGCTAGCTCTTTGGCTTTGGGTTCATTGGCCATCTTTGGTCTGGCCATGGCACTGGGAACTTTGAGCTCCCAAGCTGAGGGTCGGGCCTTTTTTGTGTTTGGAGACTCACTTGTTGACAATGGCAACAACAACTACTTAGCCACCACTGCTCGCGCTGACTCTCCTCCTTATGGCATTGACTATCCAACTGGTCGACCCACTGGCCGTTTCTCCAATGGCTTCAACATCCCTGATTTTATCAGTTGGGTTTTCTTCCAATCCTGTTTTTCTTTATACACATATCTTTTTTTATTTATTATTAAACTGACTTAAGATGTGTGTATGAATATATTTACAGGCCAGCAACTTGGTGCAGACTCCACATTGCCATATTTGAGTCCAGAGCTCACTGGACAGAAGCTACTAGTTGGTGCCAACTTTGCCTCTGCTGGCATTGGCATCCTCAATGACACTGGAATTCAGTTTGTCAGTACTAATTACTTTTATGCAGTCTCAGTTCTGAATGCTAGTTAGCTTTGATTGAGGTACTTAATTAAACTAATAATGTATGTTATGTGAAATTTTGGCAGGTAAACATAATAAGAATGTCCAGGCAATTGGAATACTTTCAACAATACCAGCAAAGGGTGAGTGCCCTCATCGGAACTCAACGCACCAAGCAGCTTGTGAATCAAGCACTTGTCCTCCTCACCGTCGGCGGCAACGACTTTGTGAACAACTACTATCTGGTGCCTTTCTCTGCAAGATCACGCCAGTATGATCTCCCAGATTATGTCAAATTCCTCATTTCCGAGCTCAAAAAACTTCTCTTGGTAGCCAACTCCTAATTTCATCTTGTAACTTGTTGGGCAAGTCACACATCACTTTTAATGTCACCACCAAATTAATTAATTTAATGGTCTTGTGTGGTTTTTCAGAGAATGTATGACCTCGGAACACGAAGAGTTCTGGTGACAGGTACCGGGCCGCTAGGCTGCGTGCCGGCAGAATTGGCACAGCGAAGCAGGAACGGCGAGTGTTCAGCTGAGCTGCAAAGAGCAGCGTCTTTGTACAACCCTCAACTCGTTAAGTTGCTAAAATCACTCAACAGCCAACTTGGTTCTGATGTCTTCATTGCTGCCAACACACAGCAGACGCGCAACGATTTCATAAGCAACCCTCAAGCATTTGGTAAATATTCATGATCATGGCCTAATCTAATAATATTAATTATAGTAAATTGAATTTAGACCCATAAAATTCATTTTAAATCACCTACAACCCTTCCTTTTATTTTTCTATTTAAAATACCCAATTTTTTCAAATAATACCCGATGACTAGGATCCAACTAAGCAAGTTACCCAATATAACTTAAAATCTGATTTATTGTATTTTTTGGATTCCAAAACTACCCATATTTATAAGTTAATGTGTTATGGGGGTGTGTAACTAAGAGTAAGTCCACCCCAAAAAGGCAAAGGCAAGGCAAAGGCAAGGCAAGGGCTGGGACTATTCATGTGAATAGTGGCAGCCTTGCCTTTTTTGGTTCCACCCCAAAAGGCTAGGGTAAGGGCAAATACTATTCACATGAGATATGAGGAGATGAATTTGTATAGAGTTTTTGGTGTGGGAAGTAAAGAATATGCCTAGGTATTTATTAAAAAAAATTCTTGAATTTTTGTCTTTTTTTTCCCTTTTTTTTTCCATTTTTTTGGTTGCTGACGTTATTATGATGTCAACATTGCATCATTTTGCCCAGGCAGCAACTCGGGCTGAATTTGCCCGTGGGCTCGCCTAGGCTCATGGGACCTAGCTCTTGCCAGGGCTGGACCTTGCACGCTGGAGGGAGTTTTGGGAGCCTGGGGGGCCTGTTGCCAGGGCAGGTCCTTAGCGCTGGACATGCTCTAATGACGCATGTTGTATTTGAAAAGATTTCCAAATGGTTGTAATGGATCTAGGAATTAATTTAGAAACTTATTTGAAATTAAATATTAAATTCAACATTAATGTATTAGTAATCTATAGGTGATTAACATGGTTTATTTAATAATAAAAATTATGTTGTTTTCCTTTTATGAATTATACGACTAGTAATCTATTTTATTATAGTTTTATGAATAATAGTATACATTCTAATTATGTTGAAAAATAATTTGATAATCTATTTATTGTTTATTTTTGAAAAACATTTTTTTAAAATGAACCTATTTTTTCTCTAAATAATTTTGATGAATTATAATTTTGTTTGGACACAGGGTTTTCTACATCAAAGATTGCATGCTGTGGACAGGGACCGTACAATGGGTTAGGATTGTGCACGGTGGCCTCAAACTTGTGCCCAAACAGAGACCAATACGCTTTCTGGGATGCGTTTCACCCATCAGAAAAGGCAAACAAACTGATCGTTCAGAACATTTTGACAGGGTCTACCAAGTACATGGACCCCATGAATCTCAGCACAATCTTAGCTTTGGATTCCAGGACCTAAACGACATCTTAATTTGTCGTTCCATGATCCATTTGAATTGGAACTATATAATTTATGAGTGCTTCAATATCATTGATCCTAGATCTATATATGTAAAATGCTACCAAATGTTTGTGTGTGTTGGAATTTCAAGTAATTAAAACTGATGGAGCTTTCGAGTTTCCTTGTTTCTAGTTTGTAATGGTTGATGGGCAAGTACCAATGAGCCTTTAGTCATTAGTTTTTAAACTTGTGTGATCTTGGTGTTATTTCTAGCTATTTTAACATCTTTTTGCCTCCCCTATTTTCTTTTACACACTTTGGGCGCAACGAATATTCTATAAAGCACTTTGTGGTCAGGGGTAAGCCAAACTCTGAGTGGGGATTAATCCCACCCTTTGGGTGTGGGGACACCTCATGGTATTTACCAAAAATATTCTATAAATCATCAATTCAAAAATTTCTTGCCCAAAAAAAAAAAAAAGAAGGAAGGACAATGCTTTAGCTATTTTTGGCTGAAATTGAATTGTCACATTTTTTAGGACTGGTCAAGAGCTTTGTTGGAGGAGTGGCTAGAAACATAGATTTTGGCTCCCAATGCTAGCTAGCTCAGCTCATCATCACTTTTTTGTGGTACTGAAAATGCAAGACCTAATTAACATGAAATCAGTGCCGCGGTCAAGATCATGATACCTCAATGAAGCTAAGTTAGGAGAAACGAAGCTCAATGATTTTCATATGTGCACAGGTTTTAAAATGAGCAGATTGTAGGGTAAAATACAAACAACTATCTATCCGAGATCTATTCTATAACACATCCCTTTGATCTCTTTGCAATTTTTTCAACTCTGCAGGTATATATTTGATCACACATATCTATTTGTTTGTTAACTTGTAGTTTTTTGTTTTGCATCAAATACAAAAAATCAAATAATACTTATACATCCTTTTATTTTTAATCAATTTAGTCCATAATTTGTATTAAATATATTAATTGCTTGGAATTGGAAGTTTGTAGTTACTGATGAATTAAACATAATTTGTGTGCATTTGCAAGTGACAGACAGTCATCAATAATCATCAATGGTTGTGCCCAAGTCCTTGCGTTCGTTGAGACTTTATATAAATGCTCGAAAGGAAAGAAACGGTCAACAAGAAAAGAAGCTGAGGGATCAACTATAAATGCTCAATAATCACTGTCTCTACAGTGGAGGAGATGCAAGCTGTAACGGTCCTGAAGAAAGCTAGAGGATGGCATGGCATAATAGTTCGATTTCTGTAGATGCTGGCACTGAAAGGGATGAAAAGGGCTTCATCCTTCGCATTGCGGAACGCCACAATATTCGAATTACTGAACCACCCAACCCGCAGAGGATGCAAGCTGAACAGGAAGCTGAAGAGGAAGCTAAAGAAGAAGGATGCTGTTCAGCTTCAGCTTCCTCTTCAGCGGGTTGGGTGGTTCAGTAATTCGAAGATAGATATAAACCTAACCAAAAAAGATAGGAAACGGACTTTTAGGATGCTGTTTCGGTTTTTAATCGTGGGTGGGTCTATTTCTATTAGATCATTAGGCAGTATTTATTTCGTCCTAGTCAGTCATTCCCTATCCCTACCTACTTGTTTATTTAGTTTTAATTTGTTAAACCCCTCCCTCGCTATCAATAATATATCAATATATCAATATATTAATCGTTGGTTTACTTGATATTATAAAAGAATTTTGGGTTCATATTAGATTAATTTAGTTTATCATTTGTATATAGATTAAAAATAAAATAAAAAAATCTGGAGGTAAGTAGAAGATGGTTATTGTGCTGTTGAATATAAATGCAAGTGTGGTTTAGTCAATGTTAGGACAATTAAGAGGTAACAATTCAAATTAGTTTCTGACTTAGCTGGTAAATGAATGTGTCAAAATCCCTGACCTCTCAATTGTTTTATATTTCTTGTATCCATCCAAGATTTATGAATTGTGCAACATAATATAGACAACTTCTATATTCAAAAAGAAAATAAAATTCGGCAAACTATCTATCTCATGAGTTAGTGATACTTTTTTTCTTTCTTTCTCAATCCCCTTTCCTATCTTTTTTGGTCGTAAAAGTCCGTTTTCCTATCGGGTAAAGAATTAAGAAGAAACAAAAATTCAATTAGACGCTGCTTTCTTGGCTTAGACGTGCTTATCCTTAGTAAAAACAAGGAAATATTATTATTATTAACACGCTATTTTTAATAGGATTGGGAATTTGACTTGCAACTGAACTAGATCACCAAAGGGTTTGGAGTTAGGACTTTGCCTCTTACCTACCTACCTACCTACAAGTTACAAGTAGAGGTGAGGTGCGCTTCTTGCTCTTTGCTTTGCAACACCATATATCTTTAGTATACAAAGGCAAAACCCCTGCCGCAGTCCTACATCATCAGACAGATTCATAACATGGAAAATCCATTCCCAGATGTAACCAAGGAAACAGTCCAAGACAAGGTATAATATTATTACCTACCTGGTTTTAATTTGCTACATAAATTTCAAAATTAGTTTATACTCACTCATTGCTCTTCTTGTGTTTTCTTTTGTTTTGTTTTAGGGCCAACTCATCTATTATTATAATTATACAGAGGAAGAGGATGCAAAGAGAAGGAAGACTACGACTAAGGGTGGGGGGCAAAAACACAACTGGATGATATCCATAGACCGAATTAGTCACTTACCCGATGAAATTCTTGTTAGTATATTGTCTCTATTGTCGCTCAAGGAAGCAGCAATTACTAGTATCCTTTCTAAGCGATGGCAGCACCTATGGGCGTCTACTGACACGCTTGACTTTGATTCCAAGTTGGATGTTGGTAACAATATTTGCTGCTTCAGACGCCTCACACCGGAGTTAAGACACAAGAAAAGCCGTAGATACGTCGATTGGGTGAGTCGTGTAATGGAACAACATCAAGGTCCAAACATGAAACGACTCAGGGCTTGTTTTTATCTTGATCGCTGTTTCACCACTTCCATTGACAGATGGATTCAAATTGCAATGACAAAGGGAGTTGAAATACTTGAGTTGGAGTTTTTTTTAGCAGACGGGGTCATTGACAAAGGTCACTATGCTTTTCCTTACAAAGTATTAGGTCTTGAAAAAGGACCTAATTGTTTTGGACACAATATTATTGGTTTTAAGTCGCTCAAAGTAGTTAATTTCAAACATGTTGACGTGGCTGAAGAAATTCTCGAGTATTTGTTGTCTAACTGTCCAGGTCTTGAACAGTTAACAGTGTATGCTTCCTCAAATTTGGCAAATCTAAGAGTTGTTGGTTCATCATCGGCTGCATTGAAGTACCTAGCGATAAAACATTGTTGTCGCCTCGAAAGCATTCAGATTCGTGAAGCAGCAAACCTTGTTTCCTTTATTTACCATGGAGGTTCGGTAAGCTTGCTTCTCAGTGATGTACCGTTGCTCACTGAAGTATCCATTGAAGAGGTTTACTGGGGTGTTGATTCGATAAGGGTTGTGTTGCCTCAACTTTCATGCTGTATTCTTTCTCAGCTAGAGATTCTCATGTTGGATATCACCCCAATGACACTGGTTAGTATATCTAGCTCGTCATGAACATGTGGTTTTTCTTCTTCTTTTCTTTTCTTAACTAATCCTTTGGGTTTCAGGACGACGATGGTTTTAGCCCACTTCAGAATCATGCATTTCCTATATTAGCAAATCTCAAGCAATTGGAATTAATAGTTGAAGCAGATTATTGCTGGTCTCTTCATCACTTAAGTTCTTTCATGATGGTATCTCCTTACTTGCAGAGACTTGTGTTGAAGGTATATATATATAACAAAATTTGGTATTTGTGTGCATTTTCAGTGGTTTTGTCAAACTTCTATTCATTCCGTTGCCAATTGTTCCAATTGTGAAGGAAGGAAAAAAAAAAGTGTAAACAGAAACTCAATTGTTCTTCCCTTGGTGCAGATGAATTTCGTAACATGGAGGCGACCAAAAGTAAAGACAGCTGCCAAATGCCCACATCCTTACCTCAGGGTAGTAGAAATAGTAGGGTATCGTGGCCGTGCATGTGCAGCTAAACATGTCATGTACCTAATGAAGAATGCTGTTTCACTGGAGAAAATTGTAATTGATCCTGTTCTCAACCATTCAACAGATAAGAGAGTTGAAGAAGTAAAAGAGGAAGTGTTTGCAAAATATCATGCTATGCAACATATTAAAAACAAAGTGCCATCTACAATTGAATTTGTATGTATTTAGTAGTTGCAGTGCAACAGAGACCAATATGCTTTCTGTGAATTTCAAGCTGTATAGGTATGTTTGGGTTAGAGTTCGTCATCGGGCAGGCCTAAATTTTTGGGCTCGAGTCGGGCTTGGGCCGGGGCTCGTCGGGCCTTTTTTTAATATAAAAAGTAAATGTCTTGTCTTTTTATTTTAATTTATTTTTATATTACTCAATTTACTTAAGTTTAAAATGTAAATAAGGAAGTACCTCGTATTCGGATTCAATTAAAAAATGCTAGAAATTCAAATTCCCAACAAAGTATAAGATACAATTTATACCAATATTAATACCTCAATAAGTCAATGTAAACTTTACACTAATCTATATTATTGTGCATCAAAATTTGACTACATACCGGACTACTCACTTCGCCCAGCGGGCCAAATGATGACCTCTAGTTTGCGTGTACTGGAATGTCTAGTACTTAAAATTGATCTGGTTTTCGAGTTACTTGTAGTTTGTAATGAGTGATGGGCAAGCCTTGAGGAGAGACTCCCTCTAACTCTCAATCCTTGAAACTTATTTTTTTCCCATTTTTCAAAAACAAATTCAAAGCTTACTGCTTTAAACATATGCAATTACAAGTTGCGATAATATTTACCATTGAGTCTTTGATCATTGGTATTAACTTGATCAAATTTGTTGATCTTGGTTTATTTCTAGCTATTTAAACATGTTGGTGTAGGTGGTGGCTTGATACAAGTCATGATGTGTAATTCCCATGTCGAAGAATACAACAATAATCTACAAGTTCAAATATAGGTGGTCCACTCATAATTGCATTGGGTTTTTAAAGTTAAATCCCGCACCTAGAGGTCCATTGGGCCTAACCCAACCCAAAGGATTAGACCTATGTGGTTAAGGTGGGAGCAATATCGTTCCATGATTTTAATAGGTAGTGGACTCCTATTGGGTATTGGACCATGACCCATCGTTTCAAAGAGAACAATGCCACGAGTCAAACTCGTGCTTCGTTGTGACATATGAGTTTTTTTTCCGGCCGTTTTACGCTGTTTAGTAGCCCAAAACAACATTTTAGTTTTTGAGCTAGTCTTTGGAAACTTTTGTTTTTTTGTTTTTCCATATTTGGATTCCTACAATTTCTAGGATTTGAGGTAGTATTTAAACCAACTTGCTAAGGGTTTAGGGTTGTTATCCCTATTATCATTATGGTGGATCACAAACTTTGATTATTTTAAACTAATCGTTTGCATGCCTTTCGTATTATCACGCTATGTCATGTAACATTAGATATTAGACCATGACTTTAATAAGAATCCAACGAGTCTTTATTTCTTACGTAAATTTACTAATCCAATCTTAAAAAGAAAAATTAAACGTTAAAGTGGAAAGAAATTAAATGCGCATAAGTCATCCTTAAAGTGGGACCTTGGTCTTTTTATTGGGTGCGCTTTATGGGATAAGAGAATTAAAATGGGTCGCATTCTTTGTCATTTTGTTGGATTAGAAGAAACTCATATATTTGGAGTCATTCTATAGTGAGAGCTTTATATATGGCCTTTATGTGCCGTTGGATTATGCTAACCAATTTAATCTAACGGCTAACCAATTTGATTCAACGGTTAAGAGATATGGCCTCACCTAAGGGCCATATATAAAGCCCTCACTATTGAATTCTTGCATACATTTGTACATAGAATATATAGTCAATGAGTGCCTTATCTAAGGTCCTTAGATGAGACCCCATCTCTTAACCATTTGATCAAATTAATTAATTAAATCCAACGGTTCATAGATATGTCCTCACCTAAAGACCTTATATAAGATCCTCACTATAGAATGATTCACATTTGTACACCCAACAAAGAAGAAAAAAAGTCCAAAGCCCATAAAAGAGGCTGCAGACATGAATTTGGCTCGCAGTGCTAGCTCATCATTTTAATTAATTAATTATTTATTTATTTATTGGTACTGAAATGCAAGCTTTGTACACCCAATAAAGAAGAAAAAAAGTCCAAAGCCCATAAAAGAGGCTGCATACATGAATTTGGCTCGCAGTGCTAGCTCATCATTTTAATTAATTAATTATTTATTTATTTATTGGTACTGAAATGCAAGCTTAGCTTAGCTTCATGCCATGAGTATTGGGAACTTGGCGCTGAAATGCAAGGTAAGCTTCATAAAATCAAAGTGGGGAATTCGGTACTGAATTGCAAGCTTAGCATGAAAGTTAGGTGAAAACAACTCAATGATTTTTATGTGAGCACAACTTTTAAATTGATCAAATTATGTAGAGCAAAACTACAAACAACAAGTCTTCAATTCAATCGTCTCTACTCTGTCTTTGTGTAGTGCACTCACCATGGTCGTTCAAAAGTCTTTGCAAAGGTTAAGACTTTACATGGTTGCCGTCGATGAGAGAAACAAAACGGAAGAAAACAAAATTGCCAATGAAATAGGAGAATGTTACCCCATAATGAGCATCTCTAAAGTCAAGGAGATGTCGGCAGTCATTAGGATTCGAAAATCCCAAAAATGGAGAGGTTCTGTCAGCATAATTGCTGAGGTTATTCCAGATGAACGGGAAAAGATAAGAAAGCTTGCAAAAGCAAGCAACATCGGAATTATTAATGATAATGAAGCAAGTGGATCAGGAAAAGGGGAAGGTGGAAGCAAGTCCGGATCCGGGCAAGGTGATGGAGGAAGTGGAAATGGATTGGAAGCCCAACAAGGAGGAAAAGGAGGTACTAAAACCCGATGCTATGGGCTATTTACTTGTTTTGGTTTCTAGTCAGTCGTTTAAATATTTCCCCATAGTTTCCATGTTATTATATGGTTTAGATTATGTGGTTTCTACCCTAGTATGTTTGCATTCTATTGCAATATGTCGTCTCTTATGTATTATCCACTAAATTGAGCTTCTACTCCAATTTAGTATCAATAAAGTAATCGTTTGATGTTATGAAAGTTTCTGAGCCACAATATTGGTCTCGAAAGTATATTGGATTATATATTATTTTGGAATGAAAATTGAACTTTTGTAACTGATTAAAAAAATAAAAAATAAAAAATGAACTTCTACATTCTAACATTCTTGTTATTTAAAAAAAAAAACACATATTCTCATTCTGCCGCAATTTGAACCTAACCAAAAAAACATAGGATACGTAACTAAAGATAAATAGGATTGGGAGTTTTGCCTCTTACCTACCACCTACAAACAAAGTTACAACTACAAGGTTGAGTTTGATATTTCTACAAACAAAACAAACAAAGCAAACCCCTACTTCCATCAGAATTCAGATTATTATTAATCAGGAAAAATCCCTTCCCTCCGTCCATGATCTAAATTTGAATGAAGGAGGAGGAACCAGTTCCTTCAACTTCTCTCAGTTTGTGCTAGACAAGATAAAACTTCTCCTCAGTTGTTTTTGCACTAGAAAATTCAAATATAAATTCAAAATTTGCATCAATCTCATTGCTCTGTGTGTGTAGTAAGTAATACTTAGGTTAGGATGGGTTGCTACATTACAACTTGGCAAAGAGAAGGAAAACTAAGGGAGGAGAGGGGCACAACTTTGTCTTGGCGGACCGAATCAGTGAGTTGCCGGATGAAATTCTTTCCGCAACTACTAGTATCCTTTCTAAGCGATGGCAGCACCTGTGGGCGTCTACTATGACTCTCAACTTTGATGCTAAACCGGATCTTGGTAGCAGCAATTTACGCCACTTTAGAGGCCTCTAACCAGAAATAAGATACCAAGAAAGCCATAGATACATAAACTGCGTGAATCGTGTATTGGAACAACATAAGGGCCCTAGCATTGAACGATTCAGGGCTTGCTTTGATATTGATCATCGTTTCACAAGTTCCATTGATAAATGGATTCAATTTGCAATGACAAAGAGAGTTCCAATACTTGAATCGGAGTTTATTGTGGCATTCAGTGTTATTTACGAGGGTCACTATGCTTTTCCTTACCCTGATTTGAAACACTTGTGTCCGAGTCCTCTACACTCTCTTGGACACAAACAATATTGGTGGTTTTAAGTCGCTCAAAGTACTTTCTTTCAGATATGTTGATGCGATTGGAGAAATTCTTGAGTACTTCTTGTTCCACTGTCCAGTTCTTGAACACTTAACAATGCATGCTTCCACAAATTTGGTAAATTTAAGAGTTGTCAATTCATTGATTGCATTGAAGCACCTAGCGATAGTACATAGCTTTGGCATCAAAAGCATTCAGATTCGTGATGCAAACCTTGTTTCATTTGTTTACGATGGAGGGTTTGTAAATTTGGACATCAGTAATGTTCCATTGCTCATCCATTTTTGAGACTGACGATGATTTTGAGCTGGATACCGATATCATAAAGATTGTCTTGGGCCAATTTTCATGTGTTGTTTCTCAACTAGAGATTCTTAGGTTGGATACTCTTCTTCTTTGTTTGGTTTCCAGTGCAACCACATGTTCAAGTCACAGATCTACGATAAGAAGTATGAATTTCCTGTATTTGCAAATCTCAAGCATTTGGAATTAATAGTTGAAGTAGATTATCGTTGGCTTCTTTATCAATTAAATTCTTTCATCAAGGCATCTCCTTACTTGCAGAGACTTGCATTGAAGGTATAGACAGAGATATTTATTAGCAGCACTTAGCAGATTACATAAATACATAAAAGTATAAACATACTGAATGAAGAAAAGTATAAGCATACAGAAAGCAAAAAGGTTAAACTTTGTCTCTGTGGTTCTTATTAAATTTCTCCCTTGGTGCAGCTGCAATTTCAAACATGGAAGTGCAATGAAAAATTAAAGAAAGCGGCCATTTGCCCCCATCATTACCTCAAGTCTGAAAGAGTAGGGTACCGTGGTCGAAGACTTGCCGTTACACAAGTCATGCACTTAATAAAGAGTGCTGTTGCACTAGAGCCACGTGCCCTTTTGCTCTGTTTTGCTCTCCTTTCCTCTGTTTGCTCTGCTTTGCCTTCTGCTTGTTAGACAAAATGGTGACTGCAACTGTTGATCCAAATACTACACATGTATAGACAACTAAGCTACTTCCATGAATACCAGCAAAGAGTGCAAGCTCTAACCGGAAGTGAGGATACCAAAAGACTCATTAGCCAAGCATTTGTCCTTATCAGTCTTCACGGCAATGATTTTGTTAACAACTACCACTCGACGCCCTCCCCTGCTCAATCTTGCCATCTCTGAGTACCTAATCTAGTTAATCACATTAATGGAATAATCATACAATAATTAACTCGTGCAGAAGTTTTATAGATTGGGAGCACGCAGAGTTCTGGTGACTGGTACTAGACGAATGGGACGTGCTCTTGCAGATTTAGCTGCAAGAAGCACAAATAGTGGATGCTCAGCTGAACTTGAACATGCGGCTGACTTGTATAGCTCAATCAAATGTTGACAAAACTCAATAGCAAACTCGGCAAAGATGTCTTCATCTCTGTAAAGACGAAAAAAAATGCCGATGAATTTTATCAGCAACCCCCAAGCATTTGGTATATACTGCCTTAATTATTATTATTATTATTATTATTATTTTGGATTTAATTTTTCTAGCTAAACTATGTTGTTTAATGAAAAATAAAACTTTCTCATTTTACCTAAACACTTCCGCATGTTTACTTTCATGTTAACTTGTTGTATAATGTACCAAACATAATTCTATCAAAGGATTTAGAACATAGGAAAGTGTTGTATAGTTAGGGGTGGAGCTAGGATTTTATATTTGAGGGGGCCAAAATGTTAAACACAAAAAGTTTAGTTGTATATCATTTTGGCCTATTGAGGAAACTATTGCCTACAAAAGCACTAAATTGAAATGAGTGGTTTTCTTTCATAAATGTAGTATGATTTTACTATTATATTCATATTAAAATACAATTTTGATAAGTATTGATTTGTGGTGAGGAGGCCATAGGCTTAAATATAGCAATTTTTCTTTGCATTTGTTATATACATTGAAAGGGGTTAAATAAATTTTGGGGGAGGGGGGCGAAGGCCACCCCTGGCCTATTTAAGAAAAGAAAAATGATAGGCTTACCACATTTATACCACCTCTCTAATAGAGTTGGGCCCCATTATATTGGTGGGCTCCACCTCTATTAGAGAGGTGGTATGAAAAATGTGGTAAGTCTAGCATTACCCTTTCTTTTTGATGTTGGAAGATGTTTCACGTTCGATATCCCTTTTAATTAAATAATTTCAAAATCATAATGTAAATTATTTGACATTTACATGGCACAATTGCCAACCTTTCTTTATTTAACTGGATTGAGATTAACAAACTAAAAAAGAAAAGAAAAAAGAAGTTGAAAAAATAAGATTAAGTAAAAAAAACTCAAAAACAGTAAAACCCATTGAAAACAATTAAAAAACAGTTAAACCCCTTTGAAAAATAAGATAAGAAAACAGTTAAACCCCTTTGAAAAATAAGATAAGAAAACAGTTAAACCCTCTCCCGCTCAGCCGCTCTTCAATCCCTTGCCCTGTACAGAAAAGCACCCGCCTTAATACCCACCTTATCCACAGTCGCATGCACTCCAATCCAAATGTCCACTCTCCTCCTCCCCTCCATCAATTCATTCCCCACCTTCCCCTGCAAATTCAAATGCCCAAATGACACGGTTTCCGTCGTCGTACGCGCGTCAGCGGTCTCAGCCCCTGAGAAGCGAACCCGAAGGAAGCGGAGGCAGACCAAGGGCGACGATGATTCCTCGACTCCTTCTTCCTCCGCCGCCGAGAAGAGCCTCCGCTTCACCTTCATGGAGGAGCTCATGGGTCGAGCTCGAAATCGCGACGCCAATGGAGTCTCTGATGTGATTTACGACATGGTTGCTGCTGGCCTCACCCCCGGCCCTCGCTCCTTTCACGGCTTGATCGTCGCTCACGCTCTCAACGGCGACACCGAGGCTGCGGTCTGTACATTATTTGTTTTTTTCTTCTTCTGCATTGGATTTTCATTTTTATTTTCCTTAATTTCTTAAGATATTGTTATTTAATTTAATTTTTTTTTCTTTCTATATGAACATTAGATGCAATCATTGAGAAGGGAGTTGAGTTCGGGGCTTCGTCCTCTCCACGAAACATTCATTGCTCTGATTCGGCTGTTCGGTTCCAAGGGTCGTGCTACAAGGGGCCTAGAAATTCTCGCGGCCATGGAGAAATTACACTATGACATTCGCCGAGCTTGGCTTCTTCTTGTTGGTACAAACAAATCATGATAATAAGTTGCACATTATTTATTATCTGTTCCTTAAAATGTGAGGATTTCTTATCTGAGTTTGTGTGAGCAGAGGAGCTCGTTCGGACCCGCCATTTGGAAGATGCCAACAAAGTGTTCTTGAAGGGAGCCAAAGGTGGGCTCAGAGCTACTGATGAGGTCTATGATCTTCTTATAGTTGAAGATTGTAAAGTTGGGGATCATTCTAATGCCTTAGATATTGCCTATGAAATGGAGGCCGCTGGCCGGATGGCAACAACTTTTCATTTCAATTGTCTTCTTAGCGTGCAGGTGGCCTTTCCTGAATTTTTTTTTTGTGAACTTGTTTTGTTGCTTACTTTATCTGAACATAATATCGATTTAGGGGTTGTTATTGGATTGATATCATCTTTAAAACTTTTCAAATAAAAAAGGAAGGAAAAAGGGCAGGGTAACATGAATGATTCGAAAGTAGACAAATCTCTGATGTTTTAGTTCTACATTCGAAAGTTCTACGCAGAATTTGAAATTAGAATAGGGTTGAAATGTGCATGTTGTAGCCGTTGGCTAAAATTTCCACATTTTGCTAGTGAGTTACTGCAAGCATCTTTAGATCTAGTTGTTTACTAATACCGGCTCTTGTGCCAGTCTGATGAAATCTTTTTCCCCTTTGAATGCTATAGGCTACTTGCGGAATTCCTGAAATAGCGTTTTCTACGTTTGAGAACATGGAGTACGGAGGAGAAGGTTCGTATATATTTTTTTTGAAATTTGTTGTTGGTGCTTGTATAAGTCTTACTTATGATTAAGCTTTCATAAGAACTTGTGCTAAAATTATTCAAATTTGACTTTATGCCTGCTTAATGGTATTCCTAGCCATATCGAAGTTCCTTTCCTGGCTGGCTTGTGACAATTTTTGTTTGTATTGAAGTACTAATTTAACTTTTGAACCATGGTAACATATATGTATTTTGGTTATTCTGGTTTCAGCATGACATGTGGTTTATTATACTTTTGTATTATGAAATTGAGTTGTATATTGCTGGCTGCAGAGTTATTTATGTATATTCAAGTTTAATACTTCTCAGAAGCCTTTGTTTTCTGTTCTTCAGGGTTTATACTTATAGTTTTCTTGACAAAACAGAATACATGAAACCTGATACTGAGACATATAATTGGGTGATCCAAGCATATACCAGAGCTGAATCATATGACAGGTAGTTTATGTAGCCATAAGTAATTCCTGCTATGTTTCTTTATGAGGTATGAATCCTTATAACCTTTAGCAACCTGTAGGAGGCAATCTTAGTTCTCAAGTTTCGTGTTTTCAATTTTCGGGGTCGTCAGCTTTGCATGATAATTATATTTATGGAATTTTGACAACTTCTTAAGTTGTTTTGAGTTCAAGATTATGACATTGCCGTGAGGCACTTTACGGACCCTTTTAATCTTATAAACCCTCCTTGGGGTTTCAATTTGACATGTAGAGTGCAAGATGTTGCTGAGTTACTTGGCATGATGGTTGAAGACCACAAGCGTTTGCAGCCTAATATGAAAACCCATGCGTAAGCATCTTTTTGTTTGCTTATTTAATTATGTAAAAGTTAGTAGTCCATGCTGACCATCTACTTTATCAAATGTTGAGCTTCGGCTGCCAGCATTGTAGCTTTTTTATATTTCTTTTTCCCCTCGATTGTCTCTTTTTCAATGTGGCTTGGGGCAGAGACAATCTTGAGTTCAACCAACATCTTGTGTTACATTGTATCATACTTCTTTCATTTTTGCTTTTCTTTTCTTTTGAAAATGTTGTTGTGCCTTGATGTTCAGATTGTTAGTTGAGTGCTTTACCAAGTATTGTGTAGTTCGAGAGGCAATACGGCATTTTCGTGCCCTCAAAACTTTTGAAGGGGGAACAAAAGCTTTACATAATGAAGGAAACTTTGGGGACCCTCTGTCTTTGTATCTTCGAGCTTTATGTCGAGAAGGTATACAGTATCCACATGTTTCATTTATTCTTCTTAACAAGAGTAATCTCATTTCTTCACACTCTGAATAATGGTTCGAGATTTCAGCAGCAGTTTTATTGCTATATGTTGTCTGCACTTAGTAATATGCAACCAAGGTTTTCGTAAAATTGTACCTTGAAAGTTTTGAATTTCAGGGAGTAGAAGTTGATAGGCAATCTACATGCTTAAGCTGAGGTATCACAGGAGCTAAACTATCTTATATAATAACTCCTTCGTAGATGTATGCTTTATGCCTTTCTTGGACTAGGAAGTCATCACCTAAACTCTATTCAAGCTGCTAAGGCAGAGCCTTATTAATTCGTATACATGATTTCCTATGTTGTTGTCAATTATTTAATCTCACAGTAGGCGGCTGCGGTTTAAAATTGTTGATGTGTCCAAAGCAATGCTGCTCCGGCATATCTGTTGTTTTGGTGTAGCCTATAAACTGTTCAAGAGTAAACAAGCTAACAGACCATATTGGCGCCCCCAGTTGGCTTCTATGATCAATATCAGATCTAATTTCTCTATTTTGTGGCATTGACAAGATGTTGGGCTTAGTTTATTTATATTACAATATTGTAGGTTTTAGGAGTTGGATATAGTCTGTTGTTGTTTCTCATCAATCTTATTTTATCTTCTCATGATAGTGGGTCCATTTTAATCCTTTCAGAGGTTCTAGCTTGTTTATAGTAGTTCCCTGTTTGGAATTTGATGTCCTACTTGGATTAGTAGTAGAGTTTCTTTGCAACTCTTTCGTTTGTATGCAAAACAATTTTAGGAGAATATAACATGAGCTATTGAGCTTTCTTTATGGATCATGTGATGCATGAGGAATTCAGAAGTATAAGAATAATGAAAAATCTGTGCTCCCGATGTTGGATCCTAGCTTTTCTGATTCACACTGTTCACTTGCAGTCACAGTAATCTATCATATATTGTTGCATGTTAGGTTTATTAAAAATTTGTTAGCTTTTTTGACCTACATTATGGATCTTTCATTCTTAGTCTTGAATAGAACTTATTGACTTGATTAATGTTGTGTTTGTCTTTAGGAAGAATACTTGAGTTGTTAGAAGCTTTAGAAGCTATGGCCGAAGACAACCAAAAAATTCCACCACGAGCCATGATTTTGAGCAGAAAGTACCGGACACTGGTGAGCTCATGGATTGAACCTTTGCAAGAGGAAGCTGAGCTTGGACATGAGATTGATTACATGGCCAGGTGGGTGTCTCTGTGTGTGTTAATAGATACAACACCTGCTGCAAGCCTTTTCCTTCATATTGTTCTACACCTTAAAAGAAAATAGTGAGTTAAGGAGCGGATTGTAGATCTCACTGCTCCTTTCCCTCACCCCCCTCTTTTCTTTTAAAAAATTTATTTTAAAATTTTTAAAATATTTAGTCTTTTATAATAAATCTACTATAGTTTCAATTGGTAACAGTGCTTTTCTTAATTATTATTTTTAATTTCTCTTTCAATTTCATGCTACGCGTAATTAGGACAGAACACATACTCTGCGGGTATTTTTCGTTTACCCCTGAGTTTAAGCATATGTGAGGCAACCCTACCTCTACTTTAGAAATTAACAAATAAATAAAGAATAGAGATGAGAGATTTCAAATGCGAGACTCTTTTCATAAGAGAATCAGGACCTTCAAGAACAAAGCTTTGATATATTAGACTACTAACGGACACCCAAAAGATTAAATGCAGTGGGTCAACCATGCATATGAAGATAACAAAGACATCTCAGTATTAACTTCTTGTTGTGTTGTTAACTGATTTGTACATGAATCAGGTACATTGCAGAGGGTGGGCTTACTGGTGAGCGTAAGCGATGGGTGCCTCGACGAGGGAAAACTCCACTAGATCCTGATGTTGAGGGGTTTATATACTCAAATCCTATGGAAACCTCGTTCAAGCAAAGATGTCTTGATGATTGGAAGATACACCATAGAAAGCTTTTGAGAACATTACGGAATGAAGGAGTTGCAGCTTTAGGGGATGCATCTGAATCGGATTATATTAGAGTGGAGATGAGGTTAAGGAAAATTATAAAGGGCCCTGACCAGAATGTTTTAAAGCCCAAAGCTGCTAGTAAGATGGTAGTATCTGAGTTGAAGGAAGAACTAGAAGCGCAAGGTCTGCCAACTGATGGTACCAGAAATGTTCTTTACCAGCGTGTCCAAAAAGCAAGGAGGATAAATCGTTCTCGTGGCCGACCACTCTGGGTTCCTCCTGTGGAGGAGGAGGAAGAAGAGGTTATTTATTTATCTAATTTATTTTTTCCTGCTTGGGTTTCTTCTGTCGGGCACTTAAATTTTCACTTTATACTGATAAAATCAAATCTGAATGTGTTTCTGTTACAGGTTGATGAAGAGATCGATGAACTAATCTCACGTATCAAGCTCGAAGAAGGAAATACGGAGTTTTGGAAGCGGCGTTTCCTTGGAGAAGGCTTCAGTAGTGATCAAGAAAAGGCTGTAGATGTTTCGGATAGTGCCACTGTTGTAGATGTTGCAAAAGAGGTTGAAAACGGTGAGGCTGAAGCTGATGATGATGACGACGGTGATAATGATGATAATGATGATGATGACGACAATGACGATGATGATGAGGAGGAGGAGGAGGTAGAGGTGGAGGTAGAGGTAGAACAAGCTGAGAGACAAGATGTAGAAAGGGTTAAGGAAAAGGAAATTGAAGCTAAGAAGCCTCTTCAAATGATTGGAGTACAACTGTTGAAAGATTCTGACCAAACAAGTACGACATCTAAAAAGTCAAGGAGAAGAAGGTCTCGAGTATCAGCTGAGGTATGACATTATAGTTACTTTTGTTTTACATTATTTTTCCAGGAGGTATGAAGGATATGGCCAAATCCATCAACTTAAAGTTTCAACGTTTGTTTATGGATGCAGGATGACAATGATGATGACTGGTTTCCTTTAGATATATTTGAGGCATTTAAGGAGCTGAGGAATAGGAAAGTTTTTGATGTATCTGACATGTATACACTAGCTGATGCTTGGGGTTGGACATGGGAGAGAGAATTGAAGAACAGACCTCCTCGAAGATGGTCACAGGACTGGGAAGTTGAGTTGGCAATTAAAGTTATGTTGAAGGCAAGTTCTTATCTTTATAGTCCATTCTTCACTTGCAATGCTAGTTTTCTCCACAAATGCTGATCCTTAAAACATAAACTTTAACAATAAACTTTAGATTCCTAGACGTTAATGAAATATATGTTTTTAGGGACTGCTTTTCATGTGAAGACCATTTGGAGAACTAAGGGGCTGTCATAACCCGTTAATGACTAAAGCAATGGCCAAAGGAATGATGACCATTTCATTTTTATTTTGGTCGAATGATGACCATTTCGTTATGCTTGGGCAAAAGCATATACATCTATATTTACTTTTCTTATTTGAAAGAGACACTGGACTTCATTTCAGGTAATAGAATTGGGTGGAACACCCACGATTGGGGATTGTGCCGTGATATTGCGTGCAGCCATAAGGGCTCCTCTGCCGTCAGCTTTCTTGAAGATCTTACAGACTACACATACTCTTGGTTATGTATTTGGCAGGTAAGACCATGTTTCGTAATTTGATTAAGGTAAAAGCGAAAACATGCCTGCTTAAATATGACTCATTAAATAGGCCAACCAACAAGAGAAGCATGCATGGTTTGATCCATAAATCCATGTAATGTACCAGCTGCCCCATCCTTATAAATACATCCATGATCCGTCCACACAAATAATGCTTGCCAGAGCTGATGGGGGTCTTGTTTGTTCACATCTCATTTTGTTGTGATCTATTGCAGTCCCCTTTACGATGAAATCATCTCGTTGTGTCTTGATCTCGGGGAGGTAGATGCAGCCGTTGCAATTGTTGCAGACATGGAGACTACTGGAATCACAGTCCCAGACGAGACCTTGGACAGGGTGATTTCTGCTAGGCGGACCACCTGATACCGCTCTTAATGCTAGTGCCTTGCATGGGTTCAAATTCACAGTTTTGCCCTGCTGTGTAATTAGTAATCACAACTAAATTTTGCCCACTTAGTGGTAGTGTCCTCATTTACTATTAGCTTCAAAGATAGTCAGATTTAATTTTCTTAGTGCAAGCAAAGGACATATATGATTAACGCTTGACCCTAAAGCAAACTAAAGAAAATGGACTCGAGAGGAAAAAAGGCAAATCGTCTCATCATGGGACGATGTATCACCATCCGAAGCAATCAATAAATTGATGTATCACCAGCTGCGTTATCATTTCGTTAGCTTTTCGAATGGACGGTGATCCATTCATTTATTATTCGAATTTAGAAGCTCTCCCAATATTAGAAAGAAGAAAATTAAGCAGTTAATATGTTTCTTTTTCTCCAAAACAAAAATGGAAATGTGGGTTTACTTAATTGCACCAATGTGACATGATTATGTGTTCAAAAAATTCAGGGAATAAATTACAAAAAACAACAGAAATTACATATGGTTGTTTTAGCCGTTGAAAACAAAAAGAGAAAAACAGAGAACGGAAGAAGAAAGAGAATTATACAATTAAGCCAGAGACGCATCGTTTTAGCGTGTGTTCGTAACTTGTGTTAATGTAGTTGTGCATACCCACTCCACTGACGAGTATTAGACAGCAGCAGCACCACTAACCGCCTTCAGACACGTACCGCAAACTGCTCGCTCGCGGTCCTTCCTTCCTTCCTTCCCACCAAATAATTCAGGAGGCAAACCGCAAACTCATTCTCTCCTTCCGAAGCTTTCTACTTTGGGTCTCGGCTAAAATTAAAGCAGAATGTGACGATTCTGTTCCCTATGATCTAAAGCTTCTTCTATTGCGCTGCTTCAATTTCGGCCAGATCTTATCGTAGACGCATTATCTACTGCATTTTAAGGCTTCACCCATGGCTGTTCCTGTGGAAGAGGCCATTGCCGCCCTATCTACATTCTCACTCGAGGTACTCTCTCAAATGGTTTTTTATTTTATTTTTTTTTCATATTTGGAAAAATGAGTTTATTTCATTTGTAAGTACATGAAATAAATTGTGCTCTTTCTGTATATTTTTTTGGGGATTTATGTAGGATGAGCAAGCAGAGATACAAGGACCGGGAATTTGGGTTTCAACTGATACCGGCGCAACTGATAGCCCAGTTGGTGTGTATTTCTTTTTCTTTCTTTTACGCATTTGGATCGCCAACTGCGATATCGGAACAACCAGTTTTGGTGTTTATTTGGAAGTATTATTAAGTGAAGTGGTTGATGGAATGAACTGCGCTTAACTTTTTTTTTTTTTTTTTTTTCTTTTCCAAATAAATCAAATATCCTCAAGTTTACATTTGGCATTTGAATCCCAACTTGGTAAGACCAATTAGGTCTGTTTCTTTCCATCTCTGTATGGATTTATTACTTGTGGAGCCTTGGAGGTCTGATTTGCTAAAATGCACTGATATGACGATGCTTACTACATGACTTTCTGGATATTTCCGTTTTGTAGAGTATAGCGATGTTTCTGCATATCGCCTATCTCTGTCAGAAGACACAAAAGCTCTCAATCAGCTGGTATGCAGCTCTTTGTGCTTATTTTGCTTTATTTTTTATGTTAAGATAAGCTGGTTATTTAAAATATTAATTCTGATGGATACACCATTGGAAACACTTTTCCTTTCCTTTGCCGTTGTTGCTATTTTTGTCTTTGATTCTTTTTTTGCTTTAGTTTTTCTTTTTCAATTTTAAACTTTTGTTTTTTCTGTTTGGATAATTTGGTTATTGACCGTGTAAATGCATTATGGCCACATTTTCTTATTCATTTTTGAATGTATCTTAATGTTGTCTTTGATTGTGTTTTTGATAAACACTGCAACATATGCAGAATGCTCTTATACAAGAGGGGAAGGAGATGGGATCTGTGCTTTATACATATCGCAGTTGTGTCAAGGCACTTCCTCAGGTTAACTCTTTCTTCAAGTCATCATCCTTACCAACTAGCATTGTATGGGAAAACATTATAAATGGTTGTGCTGACTTGTCTCTAACATGTGTATATATGCACTTTGTGGCAGCTTCCTGATTCTATGAAACAGAGTCAAGCTGACTTGTATCTAGAAACATATCAAGTTCTGGACTTGGAAATGAGTCGTCTACGTGAAATACAGCGATGGCAAGCGTCAGCTGCCGCAAAGGTATGCTTTTGTCCAAACCTGAATACTACACTCTTTCTTTGTTATCCTTTAGTTGAATTTTCACTGTATCATGGATGTTTTTCTCTGGTATAGCTAGCTGCAGATATGCAACGCTTTTCTAGGCCCGAGCGACGCATTAATGGCCCTACAGTAACTCATCTCTGGTCTGTCATAACATTATTCTGAAACATTTTCTTTTTGTTTACTTTTGTTCTTGTCCTGTGTCACAAATTTACTCACTCATCTCTTCCATATTAATGGCTATATCATTGTAAAAGTCATTTGATCTTATGATGAGGGGCAATATGGGTCCCACATATTTTGTTCCTATTCCAGGTCCATGCTGAAGCTACTTGACACTCTGGTGCAACTTGATCATCTCAAAAATGCAAAAGCAAGCATACCTAATGATTTCTCTTGGTATAAAAGGTAAGACGATTATTACCAGTCTAAATCGTATTGTTATACCTATGTGACATGTTATGTGATCCTTGACTAGTTCTCTTGACCTATTCTGGGTTTTTTAGGACATTCACACAAGTAAGTGTACAGTGGCATGATACTGATTCGATGAGAGAGGAGTTAGATGACTTACAGGTGTGACTGTCGTCTCCTTCACTATCTTCCTGATATTCAGGTTTAGGTGGATACATACTACGACTGTTTATCGGTCTTGGAAACTTTTCTTTTCTGGAAGTCCGGTATGATATCGTGACATAGTAGTCCAATTAATGAAATTACTTTTTAATTATCTTCTGCAGATTTTCCTTAGCACAAGGTGGGCTATCTTATTGAATTTGCATGTTGAGATGTTCCGTGTGAACAAGTATCCTGTGTACCAGTCATAATAAATGACATCTTTTCTAATGCTACACTTCTGTATGACATGAGGAGAATAAATTAAGACTTCTTATGATACCTCTATGTCAACTTGTTTCGCTTATAATGCCTTTTGTTGTTATTGTTAATTTGTTACATTTGCAATTGGTGATACATTCTGCTAGTCCTGTTTGAGTTCCTTGACCCGAATATAGCGTAGAAGACATCCTTCAAGTTCTTATAGTCTTTGCTGTTGAGTCATTAGAGCTGGATTTTGCACTTCTGTTCCCTGAGCGGCACATTCTTCTTCGTGTTTTGCCAATTCTTGTTGTCTTAGCAACATCATCTGAAAAAGATAGCGAGTCTTTGTACAAGAGAGTGAAAATCAACAGGCTGATCAATATATTTAAGGTAATAAATAGTTATAGAGATTTTCAAAATTCAAAAGGATTGAGAAGTTACAATGATTTATCTTCTAAGACTTCTATTTGTCTGTTTTTTTTTTTCTTCACCAGAATGATCCAGTAATTCCTGCATTTCCAGATCTCCATCTTTCTCCTGCTGCAATCATGAAAGAATTGTCAATATACTTCCAGAAGTTTTCCACCCAAACTCGTCTTCTCAGTCTTCCATCACCTCATGAGCTTCCATCTCGGGAGGCACAAGAATATCCTTTGTTATATTTATTTATTTTTATAAGTAAATTTGTGATTATTTTTTTAACCTTTAGCATCACTTAGATGCATAAGACAAACATTCTGTTTATTAGTGCAATTGAAATCCATGTTTCTAAAACTTGTGTTATTTGCCACAGTTGGTTGGAACAACATAAGACCTGTGGCTCAATTCTTGCATTGTTATAGAAGCCTAATAGCACCCTGATTATTAGTAGCACTTTCTTTTATCTTCGCCAGAACATTTTTTTCTTATTAGAAACATGGGTTTCTTTTTTACATAGTTACAGAATCTGACTGTAACTTTAAAATTTTATCTTGTTAAGTGTCTTTCAGCTTTTGGACAAAAGCTCTTTGTTGTTGCATATATCCAGTAAGGCCTTGACATGACATACTTATCAGAGACATTATCTAATTATCAATCACATTGGATCCATCCGTGCGGAGCATGATGACTTTGCAATTCGTTTTTCTTCCTCCATGAATCAGGTCTCTTCCTCCTCCTCAGTCCTCGCTCTCCACAACATAAAATGTAAAACTATATTATGGATATGATTTCTTGCCGGCCCTCTTATGTAAGTTTCTGAAGCCTATTACTTTGTTCCTTCTGCTTTTCGCAGTTATTATTGCTGAAGTCAACAGACAGTGCTGATATTGACTGGTGCAAAGAAGTGAAGGGAAATATATATGATATGGTTGTTGAAGGTTTTCAGCTTCTAAGTAGATGGACTGCACGCATTTGGGAACAATGTGCATGGAAGTTTTCTCGCCCGTGCAAAGATATAGTTCCTTCTGAATCACAAGAGGCTTCCGCATCATTTTCAGACTATGAAAAGGTATTGTATCCCAGATCTGAGATGTTGTAATTGCTTCTGTTGATCACAGACAATGTACTCAATATGTAGTGAAATTGTTGTATGGTTTCTGTGTAAGATTTGTTATTATGAACAAGAAATTTTAAAAAAAATCATGAAAAATGAAGCTGAGTACAAAACTAATGAGAGGATTGCTAGTCCATCCTATGGCAACAGTACAATATTAAAGAACTTGGTCAATATTTAAAACTTTTTGCTTGGTCACAAATTAGCTGAGCAACATTGACCAAGTTATTCCGCTGTTTGAGCTTGGCTTATTCTGAGCTTGAGGCAGATTGTGTTTAAGCCTGGATCTCCATCTACATAATAACTTACAAATTATTGCTCGGCTCTGTTTTCTCAATTTTGAAGATTGCCTTTTAAGTTTTACATGGAAGAAACCTTAATGACCTAAAAGACTAAAACCAACTTGAATATTTGACTTATATATCTATGTACTTAAGTATATTAGTTCAATTCCTGTCTGCCTATATGTTGATCATATCCATCCTATTACCTGATGGTGACATGAGTGTGAAATATCTCTTAGGTGGTACGATATAATTATAGTGTAGAGGAAAGGAAAGCACTGGTTGAACTTGTTAGCTACATAAAGAGCATTGGATCAATGATGCAGTGCAGTGACACATTGGTAGC